AAACTGAACTCTCAACTGAGAACTTCCTGGGTCAAAGTCTAAGTCAAAGTCGCATTGCGACTGACAGTCAGTCAGTAAGTCCTGGTGTCGAGTCCCATCTGGGCTCATGATCAGATATTTATTACTTTTTCAAAAGTTACGGTCTTGTTTTTGTGGGGCACCCTCTCTGACGGGAGGACAGGTCTGTCTTANGTCAGTCAGTCAGTCAGTCAGTCAGTCAGTAAGCCTTGGTGTCGAGTCCCATCTGGGCTCATGATCAGATATTTTTTACCTTTTAAAAGTTATGGTCTTGTTTTGTGGGACACCCTCTCTGACGGGAGGACAGGTCTGTCTTGTGTATATGCTGCTGGCCCTTGTCAGCGCAATGTTTCTCGGGTCTGAGCCTGTTGGGACTCGCAACCATATTCTACTGTCTCAGACTTGAGACTTCCACTCGCATGGTCGAGCTGGAGGCATTCTACCTCGCCTCAACACGAGTTTGCCTGGGTCACTCCAGTTTTCTTCGAGATGACATCTCGCCACGGACCACACAGAAAACACAACCCTTCTACTGTTGTAGAGGTATATGTATCGTGTCGTTGCATAGCAACGTCGCGGCCCGAACCAATAGAAAACACCGTTCTTATACTGTTGCGTGCAAGTATCGGGCGTTACGCAACAATTGTCGCTGTTTACAGCCACTGCTTAGCAACGGGTCTATACGCCAGAATATGAAGACATGGAAGAGATGGAAAGATAATGAATACGGAACAGAAAGAATTTAGAAGGAGGCGGTCGTGGTATATTTTAATTGTAAAATTAGTAAAATCTCGAAAGACTTGAATTAGAGTAGCCGCTGACCCGGATGATATTCGAACTGTATACCATCCCGAACGCATGTCTAGAAAGTCTGTAGACACGTGACTCTTTATCAGTCGCCAAGTTCATAACTTGTAGTCCTGCAAATTCCAGATCGCGAGAAAATGGCCAACTGAGCAGTATCCATCGCATTTTTGATCCCCGTGCCTTGTATCGTGTTCGATATAGCCCTGGGGACTATTACAGCGCTCTGGGTTCCCAGTGGACAGTCAAGTAATTATCCAATAACGCGAACTGAAATATCTAACGCAGGAAGTGCGAAGCCCCTGCCGGCACTTGCCACTTCGTTTCGTATTTTCACATGTATGAGGGACTCTCGACGGGGTTTTGGATACTTGGATTTATGGACTACTTATGGATCGCAACTACAAGTGTCTCACAGAGCTACACACCGCAAGTCTCACTGTAACTACAGCACATATAAATTCTTCTAAATCTTCACCAGTCATTTCCTGGTAATGGGTTTTAACACTGTCCGCTTACGTCCTTACCGTCTGGCACACATCCGACAACTGAACTCAGTCTTCACTTCCATCCAGTTTAGCCTTATTTCGGAAGATTCGTACATTTGTATTGTCATGTGATCTAGTGCTTATTTCCGGCGTTTTTGAATTGGATGCTGGATTTATTGACCACTTTAACACACAACTCGTAATTACACTTAATTATGGAGCCATCGTAAATTTACATTTTCTACCGGTCACTCCAGCACAAGTTAAGTCTCTTCCGACCTGCAGTGTCTTCACTAGACGTTTCCTGGTAACGGCTTCTAACAACGGCTTGTCCTCTGCTTTCATGCTCAAAGCCTTCCTTAATGGCGGCTCCCTTCCAGACTGCTGCTGAGTTAGATTCAGAGTTAATTTAGGACTGTCGGTTTACCGCCAATCAGTTTGTTTTGGCGAGAATCCCTTGAGACTCACGACCAGCATTTCTTTCAACAGAATATTTGCTTTCATAGTCATTATATGAGATCCTCTCTGACGAGATGATAGGTCTGTAGTTTGCAGTTGCTGCTGATCCTCACCAGAGTAGTCATTCTCAGGTCCGATGCTCCTAAGTCTTCGTTTCAACAGAACTTACTGTTTACTTTATGTATGAGGTGAGCCAAGATAGACGAGTATCTGAAAAACTTCCCTCTGACCTGTTGACTGTAGTTCAGTTACCGGTAGGAACAGAAAATTTTCTTTCGTCACTGTGGCCACTCCGATTCTCTAACCACTCGCCTTCCTGTTCTTGGTGCTGGAATTTTTCCTCATTCGCTAAAAACGGCCGGAATGTGAAATTAGCCTCTTAGAAGTAAGGCTATCAATATCTGGAACTTCAGTTTCACTGGCTCCATTCGCCATAATGGTTTAGCGATGGTGATAATTTTATTTCTGCTTATATCACATGGCATCTAATGAAATAAGTGTTAAGGATGTGAAAGGAAACGCGTGTGGTATAATTTAAAATGTGTACGTATTACGCAGTACTGGTTGGAGGGACTGAAGAAGCTACGAAATTCTTCCCATTATAAAACACCCTGTATTACTGTTTCACATTTAAATACACAGCTGACGAACGAACATTATGTCGCTATAAATGCATCATCCTGTATTATTGCGTGAGGTTTCTTGTCTGACGTCGCATGTGGAACACGGACGTCTAATTGCCACTAAAATATCATCTGAATATAGGCGTATGCGAAAATGAAATAATGCACTTCTTTTGATACTTTGTACTCTGTTGCATTATCTTCACACAATGTCATAGGCTTCTCTTAGTGGGGGATGGAATCCAGCTGGGTCCACTCGGCACGACGGCCACTGTTTTTGCCTATTGTAGCCTGCCCCGGGGGATTATGATGATTGAGATTTTGGTGGAATAAAGATTGGCAGGGGAAACCTAAGTACTCGGAGGAAACCCGCCCCAGCGCCACTTTGTCCACCACAAATCCCACTTGACCTAACCCGGGATGGAACCCAGTCCTCCGCAGTGAGAAGCCAGCGACTAACCGCTTGAGCTATGGCACGGCCTAATGCCATAGGCTTACTTTACTTGCAAGTGTCAGATTTCAGGATGTATTCTTTTTTTCTAAGCAACGTTGAAATTGTAGTTGATTCCACAATTTCCAACCCAGTTTACCGAAAAGTTGATGTTGACTGACATAGTACACTCTAGCACTCAGGTGACGATACACGTGTTGAGTCCCTCACACTCGACCAGCTTTATCCCGCAAATCACTGGAACGGTTATTGCGCAACTGTCACTGCACAGAAGAAATACTATCTCGCGGTGATCTCGCTGACTGCGCCAATGACGCTCACGTCAATGGCAAATGCTTCGAAAGGAGGGGTGTGAAATGTTACGCCCCAACTTACATTCCCTCCTGATATTCCAGGCAGTAAAGACGTGGGAGTTATCAGCGACTTCTATAACGTAAACCTTTGCGGATTATTGGACCAATTTCTGACAAAATTCTCTTTTAATATTCACAAGCTGAAATGACCTTTCCCCCACCATCCCTCAGAAATCTGCCCACGTTTGTTGAAGGCCTAATATGACGGTCAAGAGGTCTCGCATCGGCTCAGTTAAGAGGCCGAAATTTGAATGTAAAAGTAAAATATTGTCATGTGTTGGGTATGTCACGCGACAAATAACTTCACGTAGCTCTCGGATTTGACGAACGCATTTATACAAAGAGTATCACTTCGGCTGCATTCTACGGCGGCTATCGTCCAGCTGTGTCTGCCCATGGCTGGATCCCAGCCCTCTTCAGCGGCGGCTATCCCAAGACTGTCTCGGCGAATGCATTACCTTCTTATATATCTGCGGCCGTTGCTACGCAGTGAACCTTCTGTTGTAACCATGGAGACTCGCTGTTAGAATTACAATACTGTTATTGTTACTTCCTACGCAACGGTATGTTCTAGGTTTTCTATGGAAGTAACCCTTCTGAATTCCAAACACGTGACTTTATATACGTATATTCTCATGACGGAATAACTTGAGAAGATTTTAGAGCCAAAATGGGATAGACAAAAATTCAAGGAAACCTAAGGAGTGATCAGGCCGGCCGTGCTATAACTCATACGGTTAGTAGTCGGCTTCCCACAGCGGCGTCCAGGGCTCGATCCCAGGTCATGTGGGATTTGTGGTGGACAAAGTGACACTAGGGCGGGATTTAACCGAGGACTTCGGTTTCCCTTGCCAATTCTCATTCCACCAAATTCTCCATACTCGTCTACCATCCGGGACTGTCACAATAAACCAATCAGTTGACGACGTTACCACACACCATAGTAAGGAAAAAGAGGGATTTGAAGCAGGACGTTAGCTTGGAAATATTTAGAAACTAGATAAATGAGATATGGAAATAGGGTTGATATATCAGGGGTATTATAACCAGGGGAAAAGAATTAATAAAGGATTTCTGAGACGAATACTCTCGGAAAGTGATCACTTAAAACCTAGAAGGAAACATGAGAAAAAAATATTATGATACAGCTGAGGAAGTGGCACTTGAGGAATGAGTGAGGACTGAACTGGCTCAGGATCTTGTCGTTGGCTTCGGCATTGATTCAGGGTCTGGTAACAGAGAGTTAGGTACTTAGTGCTTGGTTAAGTACTTATCCCAGACAGATCACTGAACCAAGCACGTACCGAGAGGGTTCTCTGTCTCCTCATTTGAAGTTCGGATTGCCGCAGGAATTCTTTATAGTTTTATACAGCTACACGTTAAAATATTGCAGTTGATGTGAGGAAGTAAACTGTTAGAACAATTTGTTTTAACTCTTTGCCCAGTAAATCAATATCTATGTACAAAATTTATGGCAAAGCTTTCAGAATCCTACCATATTTCCTTTTTTAATCAGATAAACTTTTTACTGACATTGATTTCGTTGTTTTGGTTGCCAGAAGTGAATTAATTAGGTGGGAAGATCTTAGATGGCATCATGTTCATATTGAATTTTTTGTTTATTTAAATATATTTGGTTTTCTTTTTTATTTTTTCTCCTTGGGAAGATATTCTCTGCTTCATTCTTTGCTATTTTCCTTTATTTCTCTGTTTCTTTGTATCTTGTTTTCTCTCTAACTTCCTTTTCTTATTACTTGTAATTTTAAAATTGAACTTATAAAATGTGATTTTTTTATTGTTGCAGGCAAATTGGTTACAGTCTTCTCCTCCAGTGCTGACAACTGCGAAACAAAAAAATACCTATCTTTCAGAGGAGAAGCACTCGTCCACAGACTTGTGGAAGAAATGAACTAACAATTAATTAGAAAATAAAAGAACGCATTTCTTCTTGGAATTGATCTTCAGATATAATAAGTTCCATTTCCACGGTAGCACAGAAACAGAACACAGATAAACCATTTGCCCCCACAGATTAGAAAAAAAATCTAGACTAAAGATACAGACTAAGCGAGACGAGAGGCCAAAGAATGATGCTATGAAGTAGAGGCAGTCAGTTTGGGGGACAGAACCCCCGATACAAGGAAACTGACTTAATTGAAGAAAATTGAAGGCAGCCACAGACGATCATACGAGAATTAGAACATATTACAACAGCTATAAAAGATATTATGTGAACTCAAATATAAGGGACATTCCATGAGATCGTAATGGATTAAACTTAGATATGGGAGCAAATACAGATGATCATAATTGAGTTAGATTGTGACGTAAGGTCTACAGACGATAATTAGTGAACTGAAGAGCAGATATAAGGGGAACTACAGACGATCATAAAGGGAAAAAAGGTGAGATATAAGGGCAACTGCAGACGGTCACCAAGTGTGTCGGAAGTAGACAAATGCAGAGGTGAAGATGAGGGAGCTTCCGCTGCTCTTGCCTGGAGGAGACGAATATCCGTGGTCTAGCTCTCGTCTGATACGACGGCGTCCAGGCGTCGAAGACGATGACGGCATAGACGTCCAGGAGGATTCTCCCACTCCAACTCCACTCTCCCAGTACACAGCTGTGGACGGTGACGACGGAAATGACGTCATCGCCGAGCCGCCCCTGAGTGACCAGGAGAGGCTGTACAGTGAGTACCAACACAGTCGAATTTACACTATAAAATACAGGTTGGGCCTTTCAAATCCGGTAGCAAGAAGATTTTTAGAACTTACTGGTGACGAGTATAGTAAGGCACCAAAATATACAAATCACCCATATTCAAGGACAAGTATCAAAGGCGGTGCAATTCATATCGCTGATATTCGCGCTGTAAGCATTCCGTTTCGTTATTCACGTCTGTAAACAGTGGAAACCTAGCGCCGGTGGCGGGATGTGGCCATCTGGCAAACTAAACTCGTGCCGGACCAGAATTGGTGCTGAATTTGAGAGGTTTGACCAGCATCTGTGCTTGGTTCCAATCGCAACTTGCACTCTTTGTCACTGTTTCCCCAGTGCCTAACAGGTTCGCTCTGTGACAGTCAGAGAAGGCCCGAAAGTGGAGTCCCAGCTTAAGCCCAATCCTTACCTGAATGCCCACAACTCAAGATCATCCTTAGAAAACGGCGCGTAGTTGCGGTGATATTAAGAGGGTCATTATAATATTCAGAAGCCGGGATAGCTCAGTCGGTATAGCGACTGGCTACGGGCTGAACGGCTGAGGGGTCGGAGTTCGAGTCTCGTTAGTGGGAAGATATTTCTCTTCTCCAAGGGCCCACCCAACCTCCTGTCCAAAGAGTACAGAGGGTAACGCGACCTATGCTTTAAGCTGATAACTAATCTCCAACTAACGCCGAGATAAATAGTACCTGGATCAATACATCCACTCCCCCCATACGCTTTCACGACTTAGTGACTAATTACTCAAGCACAGGGTCAGTTTTACTTGTTTACCCTATAATACCGAAGAGTTCTATCTCGTGGGCTGTAACGCTGTATACACGCAGTCTGTTTAAATTCTGTCAACGTTTAGGAGGAACGTATCGCTCCCTTCTTCAGGGTTTAAAAGTAAGCCAAGCAAGAATGAAGCATCAAAAAGGCAGCAGGCAGTAATTTTAAGCGTTTTATGGTGTGTCCCTCTTCAGTATGGCATGATTCTATGCTCAGGTTGCGGAGTGGCGGATAACGGGGGGGGGGTTCTACAACTTTGGATTGGGCGTGGTTTTACAGTACAAAACATACTTTCGAAACGTTACAAATATTGTTAAGAGGATTGAACCAAGGTGCAAAAAAGCGGGTCATGTTACGATCAGTTCAGTGAGGAGAATGCAAAATTCTGTGTTGGAATTCTTGAAGGAAAAATATCTCTTGGATTATGAACTATATTTTTAGTGTTTCATTTCGTGACCCTGTCGGTAGCTACAGTATATAACGTCGAATAGTGGACTGATAGATGGATGATGAATTGGGAAGGATTTAGAAGGAAGTGGTCTGAGCCTAACTTATGTACAAAGGCACTGTTTGCCTGGAAGAACGAAGAGAAACCACGAAACATTCTCGCTCACAATAGCCGGTGTCACGTCCGAGATAAGGAACAAAACACCTCCAGCGTTACCGCTGAGCCAGCCTGCTTACATCAATCAAGTTACGTATAATGACAGTGTGAAGACGCACAGCAGACAAATGGTTTAGTATAAAATGAATATTAAGCTCTGAGGTTCTCACATTTGTAGCTACGAAGAATATCTTCTGGGATACGATGTAAGAAAGACATATGAGGTTTCGGAGAAATATGCCGCTTCCATCTTCATGGTCGAAAAATAGTCCAAGCTAGAAATCAACATCAAGAAGGCAGTAAACAGACTTTGCGTGATACACCTGATCCCCTTGGATAAATTGGCTGAAACCTCCCCAGCTGGGAACACTTCTAGCGACGCCCTGACGTTGCGTGACCTCCATAAATAAATGACGACGTCCGTTCTTAACATATGTCGCCCCGTCTTCTCTGCTGATTCTCTTGGGCGTCTTCCCGAAGTAAGTTATGCCCTGATACAGCGAGATGCTGTTGGATGGAGAGAGTTAACTTCACAGCAACGTGACCAGTTCCGTATCATACCGGCGCATCTCAGGCGTCGTCCATTAGAAGGGAGCGTCACATTCTGCCCAGGGGCTGCTGTCTTGTTTTGAGTTCTCAGATTCACGAATCAAGAAGCACATAATTTCAGTCGGCAGTACATACAACTGTGAGCTCTAGTACCCAGGCTTTCAAGAAATTCGAAAATAGACACAATATAGGTCTGTTTCCGTCCCGTCCACTTTCCTCCTTTACACCACTTCGTGTCAAAACTCAGAATTCACCAACTGCATGTACATTGAGAGGGTTGGTATAGCTTCAAAGCTCTTGATTTATAAATAAGAGGTGATAGGTTCGAATCCAAGTCGAGACATCTCCATCAGGGTACCACAATTTCCTTCATGTCGTTTCCAATCTGTCGTGCATCTTTAATCGTAATATTCGACGTTATATCTTCTAGATATTGACAAGGTCGTAAAATGGTGCACCTAAATTATATGTGTGTACAAGTCTTACTGTCTTTGGTGTTCATTTGTTTCAGCCATAAATTAATCGTTATGGAACTAGTCAGTTATGAAGATGGCCATAAAGCTATAGCAAAGTTGATGAACAACAAATATATAACGTAATCCCATCAGTTATGAGACACATTGAGGGATAGAATTATTTATGATATATTTATTGTCATTTTCACTGGCTTAGATATATGCCGTGAAATAATAACATTTTTAGTGGGCAATGAACTGCAAATCATGTGGATCGAAGCGGTGCTAGCCTTACTTGAGGTTCAGTTGAGGCATTTGCTTCAATGGGATGAGAAAATCTACGATAAACCATGGTAGGATTGCAAATATCCTAGTCAGGATTTGAACCAGGAACATCCTCCTCAATTCGATGCAGGATACATGCTCACTGGATCGTATGATTCAGTTACATGCATAAATATTTTATATAAAATTTATTATCTTAACTTACCTCTGAATTCTCCGTATTCCTGCTCGTTTGTTCGTGAAGTATTGCATAACTTATGTTCATGCAACATGTCAGTCTCTCGACAATTCATTTGTATGGTAACCCTAAATTACATAACACGCGAATCAGTGCTTAATCTTTCGCTTACAAGTTCTGTATACGCATAGGAAGAAATGAGTACACAATAAAGAACACTCAAATAAAATATTGTTGCGTGTTGCCTCGGTAACGCCACAAATAACGATGGATCTTGGATTTGACGAAGCTGTATATTGGCGACACTCACTCACAGTTGCAAGTACAAGTATCACAATTATTGCTTGCACCGCTGATCTTGCTGAAGTGACTTGAGCCCTCGGATGCGGACTGGTTCTGTTCTAGTCGGAGCTACACTAAGAACTGACTTCGGCGGCTGCTGGAACTTCACTGCCTCGGCCAAGTCCAAGTCAAAGTCACATTGCGACCAATGGTCAGTCAGTCAGTAATTCTTGGTGTCGAGCCCATCTGGGTCTCATGACGAGATATTTATTGCTGTTTGACAGTTACAGTGTTGTTTTCGTGGGGCGCCCTCTCAAATGAGAGGATGGGTCTCTATTTTGTATACCGTATTTACGCATGTATAGGCCGCACATTTTTTGCCAAAATTTCAAGAGGAAAACTGGGGTGCGGCTTATATTCGAAATATTCGAAATCACACTTCATTTAAAAAAAATATATATTCATAATTAGTAATACAGGGTGTTCTACTCCTGAAATAATATTCCAAGAAAATTATTTTTTCTATAATTTCTGTCTGAAAATTGTGCTGCGGCCTATACATGCGTAAATACGGTATATGCTGCTGGCCCTTGCCACTGCAGTCTTTCTCAGGTCTGAGTCCCTTTGGACTCGAGACCATATCTTACTGTCTCAGATTTGAGACTTATCTTTTCGTCGCCTCTTACGACTCGCAGGGTCACGGTGGAGGTATTCGACCCCGCCTCCACACGGGGTTATATGCGGGTTCCGGACTGGATAGAGAACACCAGTGTTGTATGTTCGTTACCGCGGTTTCAGCAATCTGTTGCTTCGGAAATACACCGCTAACGTGTTTGTTTTCATCCGTTGTTACACAACGACAACTCGTTTCTACGGATATTCCCATACAACGGTTCGGGGTATTTCATTTGTCGTTGTCCCGGCGATGGCCCTAAGATAACAGGTTACAATATATTCTTAAAGCCACTAGGCCGCTCTGACAAATCTTACGAACCGCATTCGTTTGTATAGTTTATAGATTATAGTAGATGGAATATATTATCTGAGGTATCGGGACTTTATTAATTGTCACCGGACGTGCTCCTGTTTCCCGTGACCCGCTGTACACAACCTCCATGGCCTGCGTGAACGTCGCGTGAACTTTCAGTTAACGACAGAGAGAAATGAAACTGAAATCGATCTGAATTTCAAATCTCGTTCCATCTCCTTGCGTGATGTACAATACTTTTTGTTTCAGTATCGCGTTTGTAGACGGAAGTGTGAATATAGTCACATACACACGCACGCGCAGGCGCATTAACGCCAGACCATTCCGCCTGTGCTCTCTGCGGTATCGGTATATCCATAAAGCTGCATAGTGAAATATGGCACTGAAATGTGACAACCCACGCGGGGGATATCGATCTTTGGGTCCGTTTCGATAACCGAAACAAGAGCGGTCTCTTTCCTCATTTCCGCTTCTGTTAACTCAAGATATACAGAACCTGAGGAATGCTCATTTGCCTTGCTGTTCGTGAACGATCAGGTTAGGTAATAAGTTTTGTGAACCATTGTGGACAAGACCCATGGAACCTGGGGTTTCTGGCCAAGAATTGCATTATTCGGATTGGTAATTTGGGGTACCAAAAGCAGTGATTTAATTGTTATATTTAAATCAGGAGAGGTACGCGGTAGCGTAGTTAGTTGAGGCACTACGCTACAAGTCGGAAGGTCGCGGGCTCCGTTCCCGATGAGGTCACTAGATTTTTCAATGACTTAATCTTTCCAGCCGCACTATGGCCCTGGGGTCGACTCAGCCTCTAACAGAAATGAGTACCAGGAATCTTCCTGGGGCTAAAGGGCGACCG